ATTAAATTGTGCCCTTAAAATGTGCTCCAGGGTAAATTTCAGTCGATTCGCCTCCAAGCCATTGTTAATGCACACTACGGATGTAAAAATTTGGTTAATTTTTTAGAGATAAAAGCCAGGACCTAAATAGTATAAAAAGAGTTGGTAAACAAGTTTTTTAATATATAGAGGAGTTTTTAACTCCTTGAGTTATACGTCGGCAAGTTTAATTATCTCTCGCTTTGCTTTCGTGATACTCAGTATGGTCGAAATCTGCAGTCAGGCTACACAACAATTAACGTACGTACGCTTTTCACGAATTGAGTCTTTGAGACGAGACCAAACAAAAGCTGGCAGTAACCTTTTTTAACGAACTAAACATGCTCAGACGAGATTACCAGCATCATTACGTGATAAACACGAATTACTCTACATATCAACACAGGTTGATTGTAGACTTCGGCGTCGACTGATCGATCGATCATAATAGGTGATCGCATCAAAAAGTTAAAAATTGCCGCTATCATTCGGAACAATATTTAAAATCACTCGACTGGTGCTCTAGGCAAGGCAAAAAACCGAAATCCAAATTAAAGCAATGATTCAGGAAAAGTAATATTCATTGTCGGAGAAGGGAATAAATGAATACATGCGAGGAACCTATCATGCGTGCAAAAATATCATTTTAAGTTTATCCCTTCCTTCCCAAGAATGCTTGTAAGCAAAATCCTTGCAAGAATAACGCAACATGCCAAGCTGGGTTTACAGACAAAGACTATCAGTGTTTGTGTGTTGATGGATCTGGATTTAAAGGCCACGATTGTGATGAGGGTAAGGAGTCTTATATTTTTCATTAAGGCAGAAACAAGATGTATAAGTGATAAGCTCCGCAAGTGATTGGTGATAGTCACAGAACATCGCAGGTGAAAGCCTAGAATGGCACAAGTTATTCAAAATACAAAAGGGACTTACATGTGAACAACTATGTTGCTTCTTATGGTTCATCTTGGAACGGGATTTTTCACTCATTTTTGTTTTTTACCTCATTCAGTCTCAATTTTCTTCAACGCGGTTTCTTACCCACCATCTACACGAACAAACTGTAATTTCTCAGTTTCCTTTCTTACGAAGCGAATGTCAACAGAACTAAGCACAAAGTTTACGCAAAGATCAGACGTGATCCCATATCTACATAAAAACATAAAACAATGAAAGATTAAGGTTGATTAAAAATTGTTCTAGCCACGTTCGTTGAATGAGCCAGCAGACACGTTTTCGTACCACATTTAAACCAATATCTAATTGTTTATCACGAATGAACGATATTATCACACCGCTTTAAAAACGTTCGTCCCTTTTGGGTTCATATCAACTCAATTCAAGGATGAATTTCATCACTTAATCCAATAACTGGTTGAAAAAATGATTAAAACGAGGTTTCTGTATATTGCGGGCTTTCAAGTTTTATGTGAGAAAATGCTTGACAACATCAATGAAGAGATCTGATGTTCTTAATCTGTTAAAATGGAAGATTATACACCAAGCTCCTCGCAACAACGTTCACTCACAAACATGTAAACAGCATTAAGGAGATATTTTCTCATTAAAAAAATACACCTGATGTGGGCAGAAGCCAAAATGTACTCAGATTATGTAAAATGGAAAATATCTACCGATGGCGTGTGAGCAATTTCAGGTATATTAAGGTGTTGCGACACTCTTTTTTTATTTGGTAATTTTAGATTTCCTTTTGCTTTAAAATAGATTTACGTTGTCAAGGAACGCTTGGTATGGAAAGTGGTGCAATCACCGATGAGCAGATAACTTTCTCGTCCCAAAAACACAAGGATAACGCGAAAATTGTAAGATTACATCACACAAGGAAGACTTGGATACCAGATAATAAGGATTCTAATCCGTGGCTTCAGCTCGATCTCAGAGCTCAAAACACTGAAGTAACACGAGTAGCAACACAGGGATCCCGTCAACATAACAAATGGGTGACGAGGTACAAGCTACAATACAGCAACTATGGAGTGAGATTTCAAAACTACAAGGAACAAGGAAAAACCATATCAAAGGTAAAACTGATCAGAGGCCTGGAAGGGTTCTAAAACATGAGCTGCTCATTGTACACAAAGCCAAGTTCATTCCTTTACTCAAACTTCCCCGAAGTGTTCTTTGAGTAGTTTGTTAGGACAAACAGTCTTCTTTGCAATCAGGGATTCGTTTCTCGATTTGTTACGATGCACGAGTCGACAGTTGTTAAAGAAGATTGTTACGATGTATGAAATTTCTTACATTTACCATTTTCTTTGCACGGATACAAATCTCATCCTGATCCAGTTTTTGATCAACCTCAGATAGACATTTGTAGATAAAGTTCGTCTTAATTTTACCGTAAGGTGGAACGGGATGAATTTAATGAATGAAATCGCTCGTGAGATATTTCACGGTTTACCTAACGCAAAACATTGCATAATATAATGATATAGATTTTATTTTAAAAAATTCTTATGTTCTTATGCGGGCACGTACCAAGCAATTTATATGAAAACACGTAACATTTATTTCACATCTTTTATAATGCAGGAATTTGACGGAAACACAGACGAGAACAGTGTTGTTTATCATGACCTGAATGCACCAATCACAGCAAGGTACATACGATTTCTACCAGTGGAGTGGGAAGGTGAGATATCAATGAGAGTGGAACTGTATGGATGCGTGAAAGGTAAGAAAATAACTTTCCTCTAAAGCTGATAGTTTGCATCACAGTTGATCTAATTATAGGAGCTCTTTAAGGTTCTTCATTTCGTTGGAAGTTTCTGTGATTATGTTAACGACATTTTTTTTAGCTCAGTGTAAACTACGCTTGATTAATTGCTTCATGATCTTATAGCTACTTTTATTTCGCTGCCGTAGATAAGTTATATTTGTAAAACGCCCGCTAACCTTTCGTAAACAGAATGTGGAAGATTTCTCGGCATGCAAAGCGGTGACATCTCTGATGGACAGTTAAGCGCCTCTTCAGAGAGAGATTCTAAACACTCCGCCACTCAGAGCAGACTTCATTTTGTAAATCCTGACGGAGCGGGATCTTGGGCGGCTGAAAGTAATGGTACGTATCAATGGCTCCAAGTTGATCTGGTTATTCTGAACACTCGAGTGACACGTATGGCAACACAAGGAAGTAATAGACACCAGGGAGAGTGGGTTACAAAGTACAATCTGCAGTACGGCAACGATACTGAAAGGTTTCACAATTATACAGACCCAGGACAAAACACAACGAAGGTAAAATTGATTTCTTGTGTATTGATTCTCGTTTGAACAAGAAAAGAAGTATTTTTGGATCATCATTTGCAGGGATTTTGCAAACGCACCGCTAGTAATAATTGCATGATATTGAGCCCCCCGAGAGGCACGATTATAGGAATGGTGTATGAATGAGTTGTGGAACTGTTTTAACATCACCATTTTGATTCAGGTCGGCAATCAATATGTTATTGTCGAATGTAATCTTTCGATGTAATGAAGTAAGTCAATGCCCGACTATCGAGGATTTCTATTTTCTAAAAATACAAACGTGAGCAAGCGTCGGAAAATGCATAGCACGACTTGATCGAACGCTCCAAGTGACTGACGTTTCAATTCCATTTTTTCGGTGATTTAATAATTTACGTAAATGTAAGAACATTTCCTTAGAAATGGCAAAGAAACTTTTGACAATTTCTTACCAAAAACATTACTTTTATTCTATGGTTTTACGCAGGATTTACAGCTGTGTTTACAAATCTTGGTAAGATTGGACCAAAGGGTCCAGACGCGATTGGTAGTCATTACAAAGATCAAGATCATGACGGAGAAGTAAAATTGCTCAGCGGTATTCAACTGTGGACTGTGCCACGCACTGGTGAATACAGAATAGAAGCAATAGGAGCCTCAGGGGGGTACAGTGAGGACAGTTTTATAAAAACCGGAGGAAGAGGGGCACGAATGATTGGAAACTTTAATTTGACCAAAGATGAGATCATTCATGTACTTGTTGGTCAAAAAGGGGAAAAGGAGAGTTTTAACTCAAAAACAGCCGGAGGTGGAGGAGGTACATTTGTAGTGAAAGGAAACAACAAGTCTTTGATTATAGCTGGAGGTGGAGGAGGAGGAGGAATTAAAAATGTATTGGAACAACATCCTGGATGTGATGCGTCCATAAACACAACAGGGAATGGAGGGTATAACTTGCCATTGGGTTCAGGAGGCAGCAACGGAAATGGAGAAAAGGCCAGTACAAAATATTCAGGTACGCGGAGAAAGAAGAAAAAAACAAAACAATCAGTAGGTTCAATCCATCAGGACAAGAGGACGACAGTAAGATTTGTCAGAACTTAATTGTTGAAATTACTAATTCTAACTTTGAAGTTTTTCTTTTCTCGGACGCACCTCTTAGAATATCAGTTTTTTAAAAAATCCTACGTATCACCTTATGTACATTTATTTTGTCCTGATAAGTTGTTCTATTTCTAGCAATTGACTACCCAATAATATTTTTGAATAACTTTCTAAAAATTGAGAAGTGCACTAAGTTGATAATATTGTGAATCGCCGTTTAAACGCTCTTAAGTAAGTAATCAAATAGAAGCCATTTATTAGACAACTGCTTCTCAGTTTTCGTTTATTGTAGGTAGTGGCGGCGGCGGTTTCTACAGTAATGGACAAAGTGCTTCGAGCGGTTCTGGTCGAGAAGGTAAAGGATATCTTCAAGGAGGAGAGGGTGGAGATGGTAAGGGTGGGTTTGGAGGTGGCGGTAGTTTACGTTGGAACCGTGGAGCTGGAGGAGGTGGAGGTTACTCTGGAGGAGACGGTGGAGCTAATGAAGAGTTTTCCTGTGGGGGAGGGGGAGGATCTCTTAACAATGGGACAAATCAGCAAAATGAATGTTGTTTTAATAGGTATGGACATGGTAGAGTGATCATCACCTTTCTTCAGTGACATGCCCTTGGCAGCACTTTCTCTAACGTGTGAGGCTAATCCTGTTTTGAAGGCTGATTGTTGCTAGTCTTTAAACTCCGGAATTGAATAATATTTTGTTTAATATTCAAGGTCAGTCACTGAGCGCTTTGAGGTGTTGGCCAAACGGTGAAACCTGAGGAATTAAAGTCATTTGTTTTTGAGTTCAGATTTTAGATTTACAAACATAGTTTTCTAGAATAGATTTTTTTTCTGAACATCTCCTGACATAAAGATCACGCTCTCATAAAAACTGCTGTTTTTGTTCTTTTTCCGGCTCTTTTCTGAGCAATTTGTCAGATGGGCATGTGCATCAATTGAGAACTAATTCACAAATAACATGCAGGTAATGAGGACTAGTAAGTATTTTGTAGAGAAAATGTTGTGAACATAGTATTTCGTATTTTTTCTGTACTTCAATCATTACTTATATTTAAGAATGATTTTCAACTGACTACGGAGGGTTTGTCAATTCATTTTTCTTGATTCAGTCAAAACCAAACTCGATTTTCAATTTTAATACGATCAGTTAGACCCAGTATCTTTGTTTTTCCGGCCGCTCTTTGGGCCGACTGATTGCATTTTTTTGCATGACACAGATTGCAGTTTTACTGCCATTGGCGCTGATTACGAATTATCCAAAAAACTTTTTATTTGATTTGGGATTTGTATGGCCTCATTTGCTGATTTTCAATAGAATCCTCTATTTATAAATATTTTATCTTTGTTTTGGTTTTACAATGATACTGTTGATTTAATGTTTCAAAGCTTTCAATAACGCCTTAGGTTGGAAGGATCCGGACAGTAGAAAAAGAGAAGGCCGAAATATGGTGGCGAGGGCACAACTTTTATGCTTTGTGGTTTCACTGATAAATCTCATCAGTGATTCAGTCTCGTTTCTCGAAATACGTGAAAGCAAAAGTAAGGATAGGAATCAAATATTATGTCATTCTTCGGTGTTCTGTTTCAAAACCACGTCCATTCATTGGACTGGGAATACTGATAGGCCTACAGAGCGAACTGGTGCCGTAATAATTGGTGCTATAATATAGTGTGTGACCAAAAAGGCTCTCAGTCTGACCACTGATCAGGGCTCACATTGGAACAGAATTCTTTTAATAGCTTTCGCTGGAACTGTAAGTTAGATCGACTATGTGATGATCACGAACATAGTCGTATCTTGGTTGATATCATCAATTTATAATTAGTCATTAAATAACAGGCAAGGAATTAGGACTAGCTAGTCTTTTAAAAAGAAACTATTGTGAATTCAGTTCTTCAGATTTCATGTGTTACATTAGAGGAACGCTTTTCAATTCACTGTAAGGGTTTATCCTTTAATCAATTTGTTTTTTCTTTGTCAGCTCAAAACAAAAAGCAACTTTCAATTTTCATTCTCACATTTAGACCCAGTATCCTTGTTTCTCTTCCCTTTGGGTCGTATTTTACTACGCATGACACATACGGCATTTTTTTACCGCGACCGGCGCCGGTTGCAAACTATTCGCGAAAAGTGTGTTTTATTAATTTGTGATACGTTTGGTGTCTTATGGTTTTTATCATTGGAATACGTCATTTTTCTATTGTTTTAATTTTGGTTTTAGGATTCCCTGTCAATTGAAGAGGGTTCAGCCTCACCTCTAGCGAAATCCTGCAAAGTGACTGAAAAAAATGGCCCAGGGTTGATGCCAAATTGTCGATGTAGCCAATTTATGTGATGGGTTTTTAGATGTTGATTAATTAAGAGGGGACTAACAAATTCTAAAATGAGATTCAGTCATTTAAGTTCTGTTTCCCTCTTCAGAAAGTAGGGCATAAAAGCGGTTAAATATGCCAAGGTGATGACACGATCAAGTTTCCGCAAAACATTATTTACTTGTTACATTGATATGTTTTTGTCAACATTTAGAATAACTTTTTTGGAGACTCTTGAGCTCTTCTGCATAAAAAGGAAGAGAAATGTGTAATTGTAATTACAATTACTATTTCCGAGTCTTCAGTCAGTAGTGTCAATTTATATTACATTATTTTAAAAATCAATAAATTGATTCCTAAATGTCAGTAATGGATCTTTACTTAGTTGCACTTAAGTTATAACTAATTAACACTGATTGTGAACAAAGTTATTAGGGGAAAGAACGTGGAAATATGTTTCACCGAGAAAACGAGAAACCTCAAGTTCACCATATCAATTTCCCGATCTTCGCTTTTGGTTTTTGGTTTTTATGCTTCCTTATCCTTTCAGTCTCTTCTCCTGCCTTACTTTCTACACCTTCTCAACTTTGCCTCCTTGGTTGGAGACGGAAGATTCACCTACGATTCACATCTTGACCCTTTTTCCATAAAACTATACCAAAGCCCTTTCAGATCCCTAAAAAAAGTGTAATACGGGGCTTTAGTTCTTTCAAGCCGAAGTCAAAATTATAAAAACTTGTCATGCGGATGGGGCAAATTATTCGCTTGCACAATTTAAACACAACCGAAACGAGTCGGTTCCTATGGCGACAATCTCCTGCAGAAAGGAAGTGATAAATGTTTCGCGATAAAAAATCCAACTTTTCTCAAAAGTTCTTTAAAAAGACGGGAAGTGAAGCATGTCCGTCAACCTTCCCTGTACAGCAGACTGATACGGTTTGAATTAAAAGCGGCGGGGGAACAAAACTGGCCTCACAAAATAATTTAAATCCATCTTTGACTGATCAGGGCTCACATTGGAACAGAATTCTTTTAATAGCTTTCGCTGGAACTGTAAGTTAGATCGACTATGTGACGATCACGAACATAGTCGTATCTTGGTTGATATCATTAATTTATAATTAGCCATTAAATAACAAGCAAGGAATTAGGACTAGCTAGTATTTTAAAAAGAAACTATTGTGAATTCAGTTCTTCAGATTTCACGTGTTCCATTAGAGGAACGCTTTTCAATTGACTGTAAGGGTTTATCCTTTAATCAATTTGTTTTTTCGTTGTCAGCCCAAAACAAAAAGCAACTTTCAATTTTCATACTCACAGTTAGACCCAGTATACTTGTTTCTCCTACCTTTGGGTCGTATTTTGCTGCGCACGACACAGACTGCATTTTTTACAGCGACCGGCGCCGGTTGCAAACTATTCGCGAAAAGTGTGTTTTACTAATTTGTGATACGTTTTGTGTCTTTTGGTTTTTATCATTGGAATACGTCATTTTTTATTGTTTTAGTTTTGGCTTTAGGATTTCCAGTCAATTGAAAAGGGTTCAGTTTCACTTCTAGCGGAATCCTGTAAAGTAACTGAAAAAAATTGGTCCAGGGTTGATGCCAAATTGTCTATGTGGCCACTTTAAGTAAAGCGTTTCCAGATGTTGATTAATTGAGAGGGGACTAATGAACTCTAAAACGAGATTCAGTTATTTAGGTTCTGTTTCTCTTTTCAGAGAGCAGGGCATAAAAGCGGTTATATATGTCAACGTGTTTTATATGACACGTTTACATGAGGGGACGCAAGCGGCCTCAACTGTAAGTACTTTTTAGAAATTCTAGGATATTATTCAGCATTCCAAACATTCCAAGGTGCACGAGAGTGTCAAAATCCGTGTGTATGTCAGAAATTTCACTAGACCTAAAGTACGCCAGATGAGGGCGAATAAATATGAAAAGGTAAATAAATTAATGCCTGATCTCTAAATGCCATCAGCTAATGCTTTTGTTTCACACGCAATCAGTAGTGCCTTTATTCCTCGGCCGGTTCCTTTGCGTTACATTGTAGATTATAAAGAGAAATATATCCACACGATTTATTCGCCCTCATCTGGCGTACTTTAGGTCTAGTGACATTTCTGTGACATACGCACGGATTTTGACACTCTCGCGCAGCTCGGAATGTTAGGAATGCTAGGATAATATCTTAGCATTTCTAAAAAGTACTTACAGTTGAGGCCGCTTGCGTCCCCTCATGGTTTCCGTAAAACTTTATTTACTTGTTAGATTAGAATGTTTTTGTCAACATTTAGAATAACTTTTTAGGAGGCTCTTGCGCTCTTCCATATAATCAAAGTGCTCTGTGAGCAAACTCGTGAAATTGACACATGATTTTTTAGATTATGTCTAATGTTATCTGGTTTAGGGAATTTTGTGGTTGATTGTCATATCTAGAGTACGAGCAGTAGTTCAGTGTTCGCTAATGTAGCAAAGAAACAAAGTAACGTTGGGATAAGAAGGCATTACAATTGAAATGATCATGCTATTACATTTGACAAGGTGGATGATGTCATATGTTTTAAACGTCTATCATTTTTGTTTCTGGTTCAAAAGAAAAGGTTGGAAGTAAATGTGGGTGAAAAGTGAAATTTACTGGCTTTCGTTGTAAATATTAGAAAATCAAGGCAATACTGTCTTAATGAAAACATTAACGATTCCCTCTTTATCAAATGAGACAAACGGGAACGAGTTTTGAGTGATATAACTAAACCAAGCCTGCCACCGTCATTTTAGATCTCCGCCTGGGTAGATTTAAGTCACGTGCTAGGCAACGTATAATCAATAACAAGATAGAATTTCATTTCAGGCCTATTTATCAATTTTATGGTGTGTAACTTTCGCATTTTAGTACGTTGTATGTATGTTGAATCTTCAAATTGTCTTGAAACTTAAAAGAAAATTGTTCTTTAAAAATTCACTGAAAATCGGTAGCTAAAATTGTTTGTTTAGGTGTTATTTGATTTTCGTGTTAACTTGTTATTTCGTAAGTCGCCGGCATCTTTTGTTGCTTCACACAGGAAAAACACACGCGACGAAACGAAATAATCAATTTTGTCCTCAATCTCACGCTATAACAGAGAAAGCTTTTGAACATCTGTAAACTCCGAGCGCTTCGCAGTAAGTGATATTTTCAATGAATCTTCGGATTGTTTTCAAGTTCAAGGATTGTAAATTACAATTTTATGAAAAACGAAGGTTGTTCTGTTATTTCAGTGTGAATCCTTGAATGCTTGCCAGTCGCTGGCGCCGCTTGTTGAAACTAAAAGGAAAAAAAAACTCTTTTAAGATTATCATTGGCTTCTTTTTCATCCCACCACTATTCTTAGCAACAAAGGTCGCCATTTCGTCTGTTTATTGCTCGCCAAAAACTATCAAATGCACTCAAAAGCCTAAAATCTAAAAAAAGTTTACAGGAATCGACCAATCGAGCGAGCGAGCGAGCGAGCGAGCGAATGCTATTCCCCACATCGTATCTATAACTCGCTCTTGCGCATGCGCGCAATTCACGAGTTAAAAAGGAGGGGAAAGGTGTAGTTTTTGATTATATCATTTTGCGTGAATTTTCAGTCAGTAGTGTCAGTTTAAATTACTTTATGTTAAAAATCAATGAATTGGTTCCTAGATGTCAGTAATGGCTCTTTACTTAGTTTCACTTAAGTTATAAAATAACACATTGAGAAATAATAATACTTTATTTGGGGAAAGAACGTGGAAATATGTTTCAGAAAAAAAAGAGAATCCTCAAGTTCAGTGCAACAATTTTCCGACCTTCGTTTTTGGTTTATTTGTTTCCTTGTTTCCTTATCCGTTCAGTCTCTTTTCTTGCCTTACTTTCTCAACCCTCTTAAAGTTGCCTCCCTTGGTTAGAGACGGAAGATTCACTTACGACTCACGTGGCCATTGAATGGCCTTGAACACAGGCCTAGTGGATAGTGAATTGTAGATATAAGAGGCAGTTTGCGTCCCTACTAACTCTGCAAACATTCTCAAAAGTTAAAGGAAATTTGGGATGTGTCCAGGAAATTTACCGAAATTTGCAGAAGCGGGTGCGGGGTTGGGGGTCTTGCAGTGTCTGATGACTTATATGAGCTGAAGAAATTTCAGGGACATGACTGTAGCCACATTTTCTTAGATTCTCCTTGCATTAAAGGAATCGTTCAGAACCTACTGAAAGTAACCAGCTCAAGTTGCACCATGTTGGCAGGTATATAATGTTCGGGTAATTTAAATAAGAAACTAAAATTTTACAAGTTGGCGTCTTTAGGAAAAAACCAAACTAAACTGTTTTTTCGACTCATGTTATTCCTTAAAATCTTTGTCCCGAGTATGAGATGGAATTTTTGATCTTCCAAAAAAAATTGTTGAGCAAAGATTCGGGAAAAGACGTCAAGCACCCATTATCTCTCAAGTCTTAGCTTCTTGCCACCTCTGACTATACATGTCTATAGTTCAGTGATTGTTATTGAAGAGAAGATTTGAGTGTGAGGATAAAATCTTGACCCTTTTTCCATAATATTGTACCAAAGCAAAAAGGGTAATTTGGGGCTTAAGCACTTTCAAGCCGAAGTCACAATACACTGTAGTATTCGTGGATTTTGTCTTGTGTGGTTATATAAAAACTTGTCATGTTGATGGGGCTAATTATTCGCTCGCACAGTTTGAAAACAACTGGAACGAGTCGGTTCCTATTATGACAATCTCCTGCAGAAAGGAAGTGATAATTGTTTTGCAATAAAAAATCCAACTTTGCTCGAAAGTTCTTTGAAAAGACGTGAAGTGAAGCATAGACGGGGCTTTTCATCTCCTTGGCTCTTGCTCGAGAAACCCGAGTTTTTGAAGTAAGATGAATACAAACGGATAAAATTTTAGGGAATTAGCTTTTGGAGAAGCCTAAAGCGAAAGTTTACCTCAGAGTAATTACTCACGTCTCTGCAATGCTGTTCATGAACGTTTTTGACTTTTCGATCCCATAGGATGGATAAGATGGCCAGTGGCGGACCTTTGTATTTTAAAAAGAAGTTGAGAGGCTTATTTAAACTTGACTGAAATAGCTCGGCTGGATCGACATAAAACCTGACACCGCTTTTCTACAGTTTCGAAATGAAAATTAATTATCATTGGCCAAATGAAGATTTAAAGAAAAAAGCAGTTCTTTAAACCTTTCGCTGAAACATGTTATAGGTAATAGAGCCTTACTCTTTGTCACAATTTGGCTTTTAAGTTGATCTTAATAATGTTTGTTCAAATTTCATAAGATCTAAATCTGAAGATTCGTGCATTTCCGGTCTTAATCTTTAAAAAGTATTCACAATAGTTAATATGCTTTCAAATTGATGCATCCTAAAAGGCATGAATGTTAGAAGCTTTTTACACCCTGATGCTTCCTACGCGCGCTGAATATCGATAAGATGTATAGATGTATATCTTGGTTTGGATAATTACCAATTTTGTAAAACTCGTAGCGATTATATTTTTGTCGTAAAGATTCGTATAACAAGGCATAGCTTAGGCTTTTTCTGTCTTTGTTCAGAGTGAATACACCAAACAAAAATAAAATTAACAAACAAAGAAAACGGAAGAGAACAAAAAAGCAACTATTCCAAATATATTTGGCCCCTTGTTTTAGGCAGAATAATAATCTAAACGGTATGAAGCGATATCGTCATAGCAAGTAAAATTAAGAAAGTATCCACATTTTGAGACAACATCTGTCGGCGAGTCTTATGTATTCAGTAGATTTAATTTGGCATCACTGAATAGATCACCCTTCATGCAAGTTATTAAAAAACTGTCATGAATAACTTGCCACATAGGTGGTTTGTTTCTCGGCTACTAAGTATGGGTTCTTTACTAATGTGATCTAAAACTGGGCCATGGCAGTAGGAATGAAATACCTTTATTTAAAGCACCTGGTAAGGGTAATTATCTTCTACGTTATTTGGTTCTGAAGTGTTTTAAGGTTGTGTAGATTAGTTTTTGAATAGACACTGAATCGCAGGGAGCTTTGTTCGCTCCACAATAGGGTTTTCATAACTAAAGGGTGGTCGCGTGGTCAGTTATTGTTATTAAAAATGCCTGAATATGGGACAAATATTAATTTTAAGGGACGCGCGATCATTTTTCCTAGGAAAGGAAATGAAATTGATCTAAGACGCTGAAGACCGAAAACTATTCACCCGTGTTCTTAGTCCTGAAAAGTTTGGACTAAGAAAGTACTCACTCAGAAAAACGTAAGAAAAGCCTTGAAAGAATCAGGAAAATGTCGAGTGCATAATAAATAAGAACGTTGACTTTTAATTGGGGTTTAAACGGGAAAAGAATATGAAGAAAGTAGTTTAATTCGTTGACCTGTAAACAGATTGCAATTAAGTAATAGAGGGCTTTTTCAGTGTTTGCAAGACTTCGTCTACTCGTGAAGGAAGTTGGAAGTATCCGTGGAGCCGATTTTGCAAACATTCTAACTTCTAAAATCTAACTTAATACTTAATTCTCTTGAAGAAATGCCATGGATTTCATGTCGTTATGAAACTCTTGAAAACAGGAAGACTAAAAGCTGAATCTTCATAGCTTCAGCTACCTCTAATTTGTTCAATAGTGTTTCTTAAATGAAATGTATATGGCAGCACTTTTCCAACTGGATAGACTGAAGAAATTCTGTTTTGAAGGCTGATTGTTGCTTGTTTTTAAACTCCATAGCTGATTGGTTATTTTCTCATTCTTCAGGTTTTGTTATTAAGGGTTCAAGGTGTAGGTTAACCAGCGCAACCTTTATCAATGCATAATTTCTTTTAAAAAAATAAATTACTGGCTCTCTCTCACATACATAGTCGAAGAAGTTTAATTTCGGGCATGATTTTTAATCATAGCTAGAAAACAATCCACAGTACTGTAAATACTTTCCTGTTAACTTGTTTTGAGGGAAGCTGACATCATTCATCACATTTAACAAAGCGTTTTGTTATGTAGTTTAAGGGTCTTTGTTAAATCTTTCCGTTTGGGTTTTTTTTCAGCGCCCAGTTTATCTTGTCTCTGTGTTTGATTTGAAAACGCCGTGACATGTCTTCGCGCCTCAAAAGTTTCAAGGAGCTTAGAATTTGACTTTTTTCCATTCACTTATCGATATATACTTTTGTACATAAAGCATGCTATTCATTTTTCTTTGTGGAGATTATTTGGTTATCACTGGTGAATTTAGAAAACGTTCAAAGTAATTTAAAGAAAGAAAGGAAAGTAGGCCCAGTTACTCCTGTAGGGGTATCGCAAAGAGACCTGGGAATTGTCTTGTGGTAATTTTGCTGTTTCTGATCGAACATTCATGAAAAGACGTTCATTAACCATTAAGAGTTCCTGCTTTCCAGAACTTAAAATCGTCTCGAGTCGTAAAATCATAGTATTGAGCTTCCTGCTACTTTTGATTATGCATGTTTATAGTCCAATAATTATTATTGAAGTAAATACATAGTTAAATAATAGAATAGAATATTTAACCTGTTTCTGTAACAAAGCTTCCTGTAGGTCCCTTGAAAAAAATTGAATATTTTGGGCATGGGTAATTATGACCTGAAGTCAAAACACACTGTTATATCCGCTGGGATGGTTGTGTGTGGTTATATAAAACCTCATCTTTATAGATATGGTTAATTATTCGCTTGCACAGAGACAAGTCGGTTGCTATGGTGACAATCTCCCGCCGAAAGTAATAAGTGTAGAGTATTTGAACGCATATTTAACTACAGCTGTCTCAATTTGTCTGATGTTCCTCGGCATAAAGTTGAAAAGCTCACTTAAGCTGTTCGTTGGAATCATAGCGGGCGTTTTGTGGGAACATGCTGTTTGTTTTCTACTGCTTTGTTCTCACCGTTTTGGCTTCTCTAATAATACCAGAAGGACAAGGTGAGATTTTCCTACAGTTATGTCCTAGCTCATGTTTGAGTACTATTTAAATGTTTACCGAATCTTTATGTTACATTTTTATCATCCTTATAAACAAAACTAAGCCTTGAGATATCCACACAAACTTCTTCCCGAAATATTTCAGAAAATAAACTGATTTTGACCAAGTTTCGCTCTAGATAGGCATAAGACAACGCTCATATTTTATAAGAAGTTCAGAATTAAAGGTTTTTAGGGAACATGGGTTTTAGGAAAGTTTTACTTCAAAAAAATAAACAGGTCTCTGCAATGTTTTACATAAACGTTCTCGACTTTTTGATGCAGCACAAAGGATAAGATATCTACGGGCAGATCTTCGAATTTTAAGTTGGCTTGTTAGCTCAGTTGGTAGAGCGCTGCACCGGTATCGCAGAGGGCATGGGTTCAAATCCCGTACAGGCCTGAATTTTTTTCAGGCCTTATTTTCACTACTGCCTAAGTAGTGCACATTACTGTGAGGATCACTTTCATTCATGGTTTAAATGTTGTAAAAGAGTTAATATTCCTTCTGTTACGCATCAGCGCGTTGATAATTTTGTTTCAGGAAAACATTTCGTTACACTATCTTGTCTTAGATTGGTCAAAAAACTGACAGTGGAATTCATGCGTGTAAATGGACTTTCTTTTCTGATTGAATACAAAATTCTCGAGAGATTTGTTTGTTGACGTCATGAGCGTGCACAACAGGAATATGAAGCACGCTCACGCAATTGAATTTGATTAGACAAATTTACGCGCTAAGTTATAATACATTTTTAGAGATAAAAACCAGGACCTAAATTGTACAAAAAGAGTTGGTTAAATATTTTAATATACAGAGGTGGCTCCTTGAGTTATACGTCAGCGAGTTTAATTATCTCTCGCTTTGCTTTCATAATACTCAGTATGGTCGAAATCTGCAGTCACGCTACATAACAAGTTTTTGGGCCGAGACCGAATACAAGCTCCCCGAAAACGTTCTGACAATAACCATTTTTAACAAATTAAACGTGTTCAGACGAGATTACCATCATTACATGATAAACACGAATTACTCTACATATCAACACGGGTTGATTGTAGACTTCGGCGTCGATTGATCGATCGATCATAATAGGTGATCGCATCAAAAAGTTAAAAATTAATTGCCGTTATCATTCAGAACAATATTTAAAGTCACTCGACTGGTGTTATACGCAAGACAGAAAACCAAAAATTCAAATTTGAGCAATGATTCAGGAGTAACACTGCTGTAAAGTTCCAGTTTAAGTTAAAGTTCCCAGTACTACATAGCAACTTTCTAACTTAGTAAATTCTTTCTCCAGGTAATTGCCGCAATTTAAAGTTTACCAGTTTTCATAAACTTGGCTTCCGGTTGGAGAATCACACGGTTCGAACTATTGACGTTGTCAACGAGGATCTCTGCATGTTTCAATGCTACTTGGAACCTAACTGCGTCAGTTATAACTTCTATAAGATAAAACATTCGTCTGGAAAACATAAGTGTGATCTGAATAACGCGACTATTGAACACGATGAAGACCTGGTGGAAAACAAAAGTTGTATTTACCGCGGAGCAGAGGTGAGTATGAATTCTATGGGTTAAAAGTAATATTCCTTGTCCAAGAAAGCTTTGATACCGCACCAGGGGATACCCCAGCCTCTCTAATCTGTAAGAATCAAACATCTTTGGAAATGAAAATTTTCAACCCCCCTTCAAATTTTGCATGCAGTTAGGCACTCAGGGGGTGCACAAAAATGCCCTTTTTAAAGGTCGCAGCACCCTTGTTGCCATGGTAACAACGGCTGCTTGTTCGAGGCCTGGGGCCCTCATTTTCATACAAAAACGTCGCAAAAAAAGAGTGAAATGTTTATTTCTCTATCTAAAACTAAATAAAACATTACAAATTGCCACTTCTACCATAAATAGTGACATCATTCGTCTTCACTTTGATTCATTCAATTTTCCCTGAGAGTGAATGTGAACACACCAATAGATTATTCATCTCGGTACAATTTCGGTCATTTTTGTTGTCGGGTAAAACAGGGAAAACGTTTATCTGAATTTCTCCAAAAGTACACCGATTCTGGAACTGAAACTACCCACCTAGCTGGTTATAATATTCTAGTTTTTAAATATGTAAAAATCTCTGCGGGCCTACCTCTACTTTTTATAGGGACAATTCGCGAAAAAAGCTCAAAATCAGATATTGCATAATTTGGCGATGTTTTCATCTAGTGTTCTCAACAACAAATGTTTCAGACAAATTAAAAGTGCGAGGCTTTGAAAGAATGTTATCTTATGAGCAATATCCCGAAGAGAAATCTCGCCTCTGGCTGTTAACTTTTAAAAAAAATTGATCAACCTTCATGGAGGAATACTCGACGTAACTACAAACATATACCTCAAATCGTGTGCATATCATCCAGATTCCGAGTGCTGCACCTTCTTTCATGGGAATTTGAGCAACCCGAAATCCTCTGAAGATACACTATTATACTTGTATGTCATTTGAAACATGTTGAAGTGGGCTGATCTACACGAAAGTATCCTCACACCGGTTATTTGTCATAAACATGTACGTTATCATGATGGCGTGACGAAGTATTTCTCCATGAAGTTTCCATCAGTCGCTCCAAAGAAGACAGGAAATGGTTATTTTTCATATATGTCAGCAGATTTCCGCTTTCTGAATTAAAAACAACTAAAAAAAAAAGAGGAAAGCCTTGATTGAACGCTCGTAAACACTGAGAATCTAAGAGTATAAATCGTAATTTGTCAGCGGCAGTACTACATGTAAAACCCAGTTGCAACAATAGCAATTTGAATTCGGGAAGTTATCATTTCCTTGTGACAGGAACTAAGATATTTCAAATCATCTGAAAACTGTCAGAAAACTGTTAGAAAATTTGCATAAGATATGAAAAGAAGAGACTTATCACCGCCGCAGTGCTATCGAGTCAATCAATGTTTCCTTCCATGTCTTGATAAAGAAAATATCATAACAAAGTTCGAAATAAAAGATTAATTCCACCTTTCAAACAACTTATTATCCACACGCAAATCGCAACTTGTCACTTGAACGAAACTCCCCATGGTTAATATGTAATCTGGATTGCTTCATGTCCTTCAGGAAAAAGAACAGCGATTCCATCACCATTATTTTCCATACTTTTCTCCCGGATATCTTTTACAAGCTTAAAGAAAGATGAATATAACGCAATCTCCCAGTGATTTACACGAGAGGAAGTCAAAGGTCTCTTTAATTTTCCCCTGAGGTGGCCGGCTCACCAGGAAGAAAAAGGAGATCGTTCGGTCCAATAACGTTAGTCTGTGGAGATTATCAAGCTAATAACAGAGAAGATTGTGCCATTTGGTTCATCAGTGACAGCATTAAATATTGAAAATTTTCATTTCCCAAGATGTTTGATTCTTACAGAGACTTGTTCTCAAATACCCCGCTTACAACGGGAACAAATGAACACATGCGAGGGAACTGTCATGCCTGCAAAATCATTTTAAGTTTCTCTCTTCCTTTCCTTCCTAAGAATGCTTGTAAGCAGAATCCCTGCAAGAATAATGCAACATGCCAAGCTGGCTTTACAGACAGAGACTATCAGTGTTTGTGTGTTGATGGATCTGGATTTAAAGGCCATAAATGTGATGAGGGTAAGAAGTCTTATATTTTTATTTAGGCAGAAACATAATGTATAAGTGATAAGCTCCGCAGGTCCCTCCCTCAAATTGAAGTTTTTTTAGGTGATTGGGCAGACTTATTTGAAAGGGGTGAGTACCAAACAATCGCGAACACCTCAATAGTTTGATAGTCACAGAACATCGCAGGTGAAAGCCTTTGCCTTTCATGGCTTGCTAGAAGAATAATCTAAAATGGCACAAGTTATTCATAATTCAAAAGAGGACTTACATATGAACAACTATGTTTCTTCTCATGGTTCATCTTGGAAAGGGATTCATCACTCATCTGTGTTTTTATCTCATTCAGTCTCAATTTTTTTAACGCGGTTTCTTACCCACCATCTACGCGAAGTAATTGTAATCTCTCAGTTTCCTTTCTTACGAAGCGAATGTCAAAAAAACTGAGCACAAAGTTTACTCAAAGATCAGACGTGATCCCATATCTAAATAAAAACATAAAATAATGAAAATCTTTAACTTTAACCAACTTAGATAAAGTCCTTCGTCTTCTCTTTCCTTTTATAGACATAGACGAGTGCTTGTCTGGTAAACATGGCTGTGAGGGTAATACGACATGCGATAACACCATTGGATCGTACTGCTGCAGGTGCAAGAAAGGATATCAGGGAAATAAGACAAACTGTACTGGTAAGTATTCTTATCTGAGAACAGGAAACACTCGCGTGAAGACGAAAATTCGTGCCGCCACAGCAAGTCGAAATAACCTTCACGCCCTAATGGCATTCATTTTGTTGCTTCAGATATAGATGAGTGTTTGAACGGAACACACAGTTGTGATGTGAATGCTGAGTGTAACAATACCCTGGGATCTTACAAGTGCACGTGTAAAAATGGATTTCAAGGAAATGGAACTAAATGCACTGGTAACTAGTTCTGGCATATTCGTACTCTGTCTTTTACCTTCAGTTTTTCATGCCTTCATTATTTTCCTTTTCGTGTTCTAGATCTAGATGAGTTTATGAACGGAACATACGACTGTGATGTAAATACTAGGTGTAACAATACCCTAAGATCTTACAATCGCACGTATAAAGATGGAACCAATTGATGTAAACTTGGCTGCATCAGACAAGAAGCGCAGTGTTGGCAGCATGTAAGTCATCGGTTGAACAGACGCCGGCATGAGACTAGCAAAATTTCAGGGTGCCCTTCAAGTGAACATCATTCCAAAATTTTTGGCGTGTTGATAGTGCTGTTTGTTTTTTGTTCTCCTCATTTATTTAGAGAAAGTATGGTCTGTTATCATTTGCGAAGAGGAAAAAAGAACCATAAGTTGTGAAAATGACCGAAGAATTATCAACGTTGTGGCTGCAAATTATGGTAGACTGGACTCAAACACTTGCCATCATTCCGCAGTTAGCGATACAAACTGCAAAGCTGCGAACTCTCTTGTCATTGTGCGGAAGAAGTGCGACGAAGAAGCTAGTTGCGAGTTGCACGCACAGAGTTCAGTTTTTGGTGGTGATCCATGCCCCAATACATTTAAATACTTGGAAGTCAAATACAAGTGTGTGAATTTAGGTTAGTACCTATAGCTATTGTTGTATATGGATGTGAACTGGGAGGAGAAATGGCCTTTTGCTACCATTTAGGACGCATTTATTTTAGAATTGCATCGCGTCCATTTTCAGTCGCGAGCGTATTTAAAACAGAAAAAATTGGGGAAGAAGCAATCGCCAATATAGTCAGTATTCAACAAATTTCAAATATTTTCACGAATTCATACCTTTACACTTTCATCCAATAAGCATTCGTTTGGTTCCGGAGTTTCAGTTTCTTTTTCTCTCAAATGGCGCCTGCAAAAGCAAAGGAACACTTGACAAGGTGGTCTGGGATAGATTTTATGCACTAAAGAAGAACTTCTGAACTGCTGTTTAGTAGGTGAATCCTGATTGAATCATGTGTATACCAAAGGAGTGCAAACAATTTTCAAGCTATATGAAGAAAAATTTAGCATGTCAGATCATTTGCCTGCATAAATGATGAGACAAAAAAAATTCAAGCGAATAATTCCGGATCGCACCTTCGCGAACTGGGAGTAAATGGGCTAATTAGAAAGAAGCCCGCTTCAACATTGAAGTAAAGGCTTTTTTAAACAAAATTATAGTGGTCTATACATTAGAATTGTACGCTTCAAAATTAGGATTAGCTGTCTGTTACGAGCATCTTTTGTAGCACACTTTTGGTCTCTGAACTCAGCATCTTTGGTAGCGGCGACAAATTGGTTTATTTCAACACATTGATATTTTGTTGTAAATGACACCCCTCCGCCCATAAAGCTTTTTGTACGCGTGCCAAGTGTTAAAGTGTCACTCTTGAATTCTAAGGTTCAAGAAGTTCCATAATAAGCTAACTATGTAAGCTTCATCGACAAAAAATAGCCTTGCGTAATTCCCTAAAATCAACTTTTTATGTGAAATTGGGAATTTCTCGAAGGACCTTTACCTTTAAGGTTGATCAAGCATTATTCTAGCCAGGTTCGTTGAATGAGCAAGCAGACACGTTTTCTTACCACAGTGAAACCGACATCTGTTGTTTAACAACCCAATTTGGATGAAGGATGAACGTCATCAATTAATCCAACAATTGTCAGAAAAAATAATCAAAAGGAGGTTTCTATATATTGTATACTTTCAAAGTTTTATGTGAGAAAATGCTCGATAACACCAATGAAGAGATCTGATGCTCTTGATCTGTTAAAATGAGAGACTATACACCAAGCTCTTCGCAACAACGTTTACTCACAATCATGTAAACAACAAAATACACCTGATGTGGGCAGAAGCCAAAATGTACTCAAATTATGTAAAGTGGAAAATATCTACCAATGGCATGTGAGCAATTTAAGGTATATGAAGGTGTTGCGACTCCCTTTTTTTATTTGGTAATTTTGGATTTCCTTTTGTTTTAAAATAGATTTACGTTGTCAAAGAACTCTTGGTATGGAAAGTGATGGAATCACTGATGAGCAGATAAGTTTCTCCTCCCGAAAAAGGAATGACACAAAAATTGTAAGATTACATCACACAGGGACGACTTGGATAGCTGATAAGAAGGATATTAATCCATGGCTTCAGGTCGATCTCAGGGCCCAAAACACTAAAGTAACACGAGTAGCAACACAGGGATCCCATCAAAAGAAAAAAAGGGTGAAGAAGTACAAGCTACAATACAGCAACTATGGAGTGAGATTTCAAAACTACAAGGAACAAGGAGAAACCATATCAAAGGTAAAACTGATCAGGGGCAGCGATGGGTTCTTAAACATGAGCTGCTCATTGTACACAAAGCCAAGTTCATTCCTTAACTCAAACTTCCCAGTGTGTTCTTTAAGTAGTTTGTTAGGACAAAAAAATCCTCTTTGCAATGAGAGCTTCGTTACTCGATTTGTTACGATGCATGAGTCGGCAGCTGTTCAAGAAAATTGTTGCGATATATGAAAATTTCATGCATTCACCATTTTCTTTGCCCGGGTACAAATCTCATCTTTCCAGTTTTTGTTCAACCTCAAAGATTTGTAGAAAATATTCGATTTAATTTTACCGTAAGATGGCATGGGATGAATTTCATGAATCAAATCGCTCGTAAGGTATTTCACGGTTTACCTTTCGTAAACTTTGCCCCGTTTACTAGAGATAGAATTGTAACGAACTAGACTCAATCAAACCGTTTTATTCCACTCTCGTATTCGCTTATTTACAACGGGTGTGTAAAAAGCTACTCTGCAAAATCAGTAAAATCACTTTCTTACAAACGATATTCTCTACATTGTGATTAGTTGTTGCTAAGTACTGATTTAAAAGGTAATTCAAGGTTGCGTTGATTGTGTAAACCGAAACCAAAATCATTACAGGCGGTGCTTCTAGCTCTTGAAAATGTTCACTTTCATCATCTGACATGTGTCACGCACGAATCCCAAAGTCTCCGACATACCCAGCGAGAAACATTGCATAATATAATTATGTAGATTTCATTAAAAAAATTCTTAGGTGTACAAGGCGGGTACGTACTACGTATTTTGAATAAAAACACTCAACATTTATTTCACATCTTTCATGATGCAGGAATTTGACGGAAACACAGACAAGAACAATGTTGTTTATCACGACCTGAACCCACCAATCACAGCAAGGTACATACGTTTTCTACCAGTGGAGTGGGAAGGCGAGATATCAATAAGAGTGGAACTGTATGGATGCGTGAAAGGTAAGGAAATGGCTTTTCTTTACAGCTGATAGTCATTTTATCTAATCGGCTAATCAAATAAGCTGAGCAACTGACATTGTTTTGTACTGAATTCAATTAAGGATTCTTTGGTCAAGAAAACCAGATAAAGGTAATGAAAGTTAGAAGTTAAATCAGCCAAACCAAAGACGTAAGTAAATATCAAAAGCAGTGACTGGTGTGTCCAGAAATTTCTTCTAAATTTCAATCAAACGAAACTATAGACAGTTTTCTTCTAATAGGCTTGAGATAGAAAAGGACTCCACATTACAGTTGATCTGATCATAGGAGCTCTTTAAGGTTCTTCATTTCGTTGAAAGTTTCTTCAACTATGTCATCGGCATTTTTGAGCTCAACGTAATTTACACTTAATTAATTGCTTCTTGATCTCATAGCTGCTTTTAATTCGCTGCTGCAGAAAAGTTATATTTGTAAAACGCCTGTTAACCTTTTGTAAACAGAATGTGGAAGATTTCTTGGCATGCAAAGCGGTGAAATCTCTGATGGACAATTAAGCGCCTCTTCAGAGAGAGACTCTAAACACTCCGCCACTCAGAGCAGACTTTATGTTGTAAATCCTGACGGAGTGGGATCTTGGGCAGCTGCAAAGAATGATACGGATCAGTGGCTCCAAGTTGATCTGGTTATTCTGCACACTCAAGTGACACGTGTAGCAACACAAGGAAGTAATGGACACCAGAGGGAGTGGGTTACAAAGTACAATCTACAGTACGGCAACGATACAGAAAGGTTCTACAATTATTCAGTCCCAGGACAAAACAAAACGAAGGTAAAATTGATTTCTTGTGTATTGATTCCCGTTTAAACAGGAAAAGAAGTATTTATGGATCACCATGGGCAGGGATTTTGCAAACGCACCGCCAGTAATAATTGTATGATATTGAGGCCCTAGAGAGGCACGATTAGAGGAATGGTGTATGAATGATTTGTGGGGCTGTTTTCACATCGTAATAACTGATATTCATGAAATTAATTCTTATCAAAGATTTAATGGAAAACCTCTTATGTTGTTAATTCAAAGATTTTTGCTGGAAACATGGATCAGAATACCGTGGTTTATCACGACCTTAACCCACCAATAACAGCGCGTTACATTCGATTTAAACCAGTGGAGTGGCAGGACTGGATGTCAATGAGGGTAGAACTGTATGGCTGTGTACAAGGTAAGGCCTGAATAACAGTTACGATTGAGCGGTACCTCTCGTAACGAGTAATTCATGCCAGATAATACTTCATTTCCTGTTCAAAAGCGAGCGCTTGGATATTGTCTGCCGTGTGTCATCTCAATCAAAATCGAGCTGCTACAAGTTGACGCGAGTTTTCTAGACCAATAACAGGGCGAAGTAAGGCAAAACCAATTCAATCCCGGAAAACTTGCTATAATGATATGAAAATTGCTCTGCATAGCATTTTTCAGTCGACTTATCAGCTTTGATCACATGGAGTTCCTTTCTTCTTCACTCTCCTCTTTTCACTGTCACTTGTGATCGCCGAACCACAAACTGGAATAATTTGACGAGAAAAACTACTCTTATTATGGGAACGGGAAGGAAACTTTTTCTTCTCTTAAGATTTTTAGACTCCCCAACAACAAAACCTGGTGATGGCTCAACCGCACAGTTTATGAAAGTATCATGCCGCTACTCAAAAAAAACATTTTGATTCAGGTCGGCAATCAATATCTTATTGCTGAATGTAATCCTTAAATGCATTGAAGTAAGTCAATGCCCGAATATCAAGGATTTCTACCTTCTAAAAGTACAATCGTGAGCAAGCGTCGGAAAATGCACAGTACGAGTTGTTCGAACACTCTAAGTGACTGATGTTTTTATTTCATTTTTTTTTCGGTGATTCAATAATTTATGTAGCTGTAAGAACATTTTCTCAGTAATGGCACCATTGGAAATGGCAACGAAAATTTTGACAATCTCTTTCTAACAACATTTCTTTTATTGTGTGTTTTTATGCAGGATTTACAGCTGTGTTTACAAATCTTGGAAAGACTGGATCAGAGGGTCCAAAGTCGATTGGTTGTCATTACAAAGATCAAGACCATGACGGACAAGTAACAGTGTCCAGTGGTATTCAACTGTGGACTGTGCCACGCACTGGTAAATACAGAATAGAAGCAATAGGAGCCTCAGGGGGGTACAGTGAGGACAGTTTTATCGAAACCGGAGGAAGAGGGGCACGACTGATTGGAAACTTTAATTTGACCAAAGATGAGATCATTCATGTACTTGTTGGTCAAAAAGGGGAAAAAGGGAATTCAAACCCAAAAACTGCCGGAGGTGGAGGAGGTACATTTGTAGTGAGAGAAAACAACATTTCCTTAATCATAGCTGGAGGTGGAGGGGGAATTAAAAAGATATCGGAACAACATCCAGGGTGTGATGCGTCCATAAACACAACAGGAAATGCAGGGAACAACTGGCCATTGGGGACAGGAGGAAGTAACGGACATGGAGGAAAAACGAGTGATCAATCTGAAGGTAAGCGGAGAAAGAAGATAAAAAAACAATCATTGTGTTCAATCCATCAGGACAGGAAGACAACAGTAAGATTTATCAGAACTTAATTATTGAAATTACTAATTCTAACTTTGAAGTTTTTCTTTTCTCGGGGGCATCTCTTAGAATATTAAAAGTTCAACTGAGTTTTCCGTTCAGTTTTAAAAACCGTACACATTTATTTACCACCGATCCGTCGATATGCATACGCATCACTTTATTTACATTTGTCTTGTCCTGATAAGCTTTTAATAATAAAAATAATAATAATTTATTTCTTATAGAGCGCTATTTACAATGACAGATCAATAGCGCTTTACAATTAGTGTCTCTAAATACTAAAATCTCGACTAATTAAAAAAGTAATTACATATTACAGTTAACTTGGCTTTATACAATTCATAACTTAACCACTATTGAAAGAATTGCCTGAAAAGAAAAGTCTCAATTGAATTCTTAAGCAGCCGCCTGAAATGCACGTTCACCCAAGGTTCCCAGCATTTTACCTCTTGGTGGCTCTAATAAAATACCTGAGTTAGATCTAAGATTGTACGAGGACTTGCGTTTGATAACCAAAAGATTGCTAATATATGCGGGTGCGAGGCCGTGAATGGCTTTAAAAGCTAATAATAGAATCTTAAAATGTATACGCGCTGGCACAGGTAACCAGTGTAACTCAAAGAGTGCTGGAGTAATGTGAGAATATTTCCCGATATCCATAATTAGTCTAGCGGCGGCATTTTGCACGCGTTGTAACTTAGCTATTTGCTCTTTGGGAAGGCCATACAATAAAGCATTACAGTAATCTAACCTGCTCGTGATGAATGCGTGTACCAGGGTGAGTAAGCTGTCTCTCGATTAATATTCATAGCCTGCAATTTGTTAAGCTGCTGGCGAGTTCCAATAATAATAAACTCAGTCTTATCGTCAGTAAGAAGGAGTCTGTCATGGATCAGCCAGCGCCTGATCTTCTCAATGCAACATTCCATCGCACGGACTGCATCTTCCTGGGATGTGTTACTAATAGGTTTGAAACTCAGATAAATCTGTGTGTCGTCGGCATAGCAATGCACGTGTGGGAGTTGATCCTCAACTACCCTGAATAGCTTGGATACATAGATGAGAAAGAGCAGGGGGCCCGGTCATGACCCTTGTGGGACACCACACTCCAGACTAAAGCGCTCTGAAAGAGATCCGTCAGTGGAGACTCGCTGACCTCTTTTCGCCAGATACGACCTAAACCATTCCAAGAGCGATTGACGAAGGGCTAACGCTCGAAACGTCAGCTTTTTTACCCTTTTCGGAGGCTAATTTACGTTTTCAACTCAGTCGTTAACACTAAATTACCCTCTTAGAATATCAGTTTTCTAAAAAATCCTAAGTGTACATTCCTCGTGTACATTTCTTTTGTCCTGATAAGCTGTTCAATTTCCAGCAATTGACTACCCAATAATATTTTTAAATAAGCTTCTAAAAATTGAGAAGCGCACTAAGTTGATAATATTGCGAATCGTCGTTTAAACGTTCTCAAGTAAGTAATCAAATAGAAGCCATTTAGGAGACAACTGCTTCTCGGTTTTCGTTTATTTTAGGTGGTGGCGGCGGCGGCGGCGGCTTCTACAGTAATGGACAAAGTTCTCGGAGCGGTTCTGGTCGAGGAGGTAAAGGATATCTTCAAGGAGGAGAGGGTGGAAATGGTAAGGGTGGGTTTGGAGGTGGCGGTGGTTTACGTGGAGGTAACCGTGGAGCTGGAGGCGGTGGAGGTTACTCTGGAGGAAATGGTGGAGCTAATGAACAGTTTTCTTGTGGAGGAGGGGGTGGATCTTTTAACAATGGGACAAATCAGCAGAATGAATGTTGTTTTAACAGGTATGGACATGGTAGAGTGATCATCACGTTTCTTCAGTGACATGCCCTTGGCAGCACTTTCTCTAACGTGTAAGGCTAATTCTGTTCTGAAGGCTGATTGTTGTTAGTCTTTAAACTCAGGAATTGAATAATATTTTGTTTAATGTTCAAGGTCAGTTACTGAGCGCTTTAAGGTGTTGGCCAAACGGTGCAACCTGAGGAATTAAAGTCATTTGTTTTTGAGTTCAGATTTTAGATTTACAAACATAGTTTTCTAGAATATTTTTTTTGTAAACATCTCCTGACGTAAGGATCACGTCTCCCTTAAAAACTGCTGTTTTTGTTCTTTTTCCGGCTCTTTTCTGAGCAATTTATCAGATGGACATGTGCATCAATTGAGAACTAATTAACAAATAACATGCAGGTGATGAGGACTAGTAAGTATTTTGTGGAGAAAATGTTGTAAAAACATAGTCCTTGATATTTTTCTGCACTTCAATCATTACATATATTTAAGAATGATTTTCAATTGACTACGAGGGTTTATCAATTCATTTTTGTTGATTAAGTCAAAACCAAACTCGATTTTCAATTTTAATACGATCAGTTAGACCCAGTATCCTGTTTTTCCGGCCGCTCTTTGGGCCGACTGATTGCATTTTTTCGCATGACACAGATTGCAGTTTTACTGCCATTGGCGCTGATTACAAATTATGAAAAAACTTTTATTTGATTTGGGATTTCTATGGCCTCATTTGTTGATTATCAACAGAATCCTCTATTTATAAATATTTTACCTTTGTTCTGGTTTTACAATAATATTCTTGATTCAATGTTTCAAAGCTTTCAGTAACACCTTAGGTTGGAAAGATCCGGACAGTAGAAAAAGAGGGCCGAAATATGGTGGCGAGGGCACAACTCTTTTGCTTTGTGGTTTCACTGATAAATCTCAATGATTCGGTCTCGTTTCTCGAAATACGTGAAAGCAAAAGTAAGGATGGGAATCAAATATTATGTCATTCTTAGGTGTTCTGTTTCAAAACCACGTCCATTCATTGGACTGGGAATACTGATACGCCTACAGAGCGAACTGGTGCCGTAATAATTGGTGTTATAATAGATTGTGTGACCAAAAAGGCTCTCAGTCTGACCACTGATCAGGGCTCACACTGGAACAGAATTCTTTTAATAGCTTTCGCTGGAACTGTAAGTTAGATCGACTATGTGACGATCACGAACATAGTCGTATCTTGGTTGATATCATCAATTTATAATTAGTCATTAAATAACAGGCAAGGAAATAGGACTAGCTAGTCTTTTAAAAAGAAACTATTGTGAATTCAGTTCTTCAGATTTCATGTGTTACATTAGAGGAACGCTTTTCAATTGACTGTAAGGGTTTATCCTTTAATCAATTTGTTTTTTCTTTGTCAGCTCAAAACAAAAAGCAACTTTCAATTTTGATTCTCACATTTAGACCCAGTATCCTTGTTTCTCTTCCCTTTGGGTCGTATTTTGCTACGCATGACACATACGGCATTTTTTTACCGCGACCGGCGCCGGTTGCAAACTATTCGCGAAAAGTGTGTTTTATTAATTTGTGATACGTTTGGTGTCTTATGGTTTTTATCATTGGAATACGTCATTTTTCTATTGTTTTAATTTTGGTTTTAGGATTCCCTGTCAATTGAAGAGGGTTCAGCCTCACCTCTAGCGAAATCCTGCAAAGTGACTGAAAAAAATGGCCCAGGGTTGATGCCAAATTGTCGATGTAGCCAATTTATGTGATGGGTTTTTAGATGTTGATTAATTAAGAGGGGACTAACAAATTCTAAAATGAGATTCAGTCATTTCAGTTCTGTTTCCCTCTTCAGAAAGTAGGGCATAAAAGTGGTTAAATATGCCAAGGTGATGACACGTTCAAGTTTCCGCAAAACATTATTTACTTGTTACATTGATATGTTTTTGTCAACATTTAGAATAACTTTTTAGGAGACTCTTGAGCTCTTCTACATAAAAAGGAAGAGAAACGTGTAATTGTAATTACAATTACTATTTCCGAGTCTTCAGTCAGTAGTGTCAATTTATATTACATTATTTTAAAAATCAATAAATTGATTCCTAAATGTCAGTAATGGATCTTTACTTAGTTGCACTTAAGTTATGACTAATTAACACTGATTGTGAACAAAGTTATTAGGGAAAAGAACGTGGAAATATGTTTCACCGAGAAAATGAGAAACCTCAAGTTCACCATATCAATTTCCCGATCTTCGTTTTTGGTTTTTGGTTTTTTTGCTTCCTTATCTTTTCAGTCTCTTCTCCTGCCTTACTTTCTAAACCTTCTCAACTTTGCCTCCCTTGGTTAGAGACGGAAGACTCACCTACGATTCACATCTTGACCCTTTTTCCATAAAATTATACCAAGCCCTTTCAGATCCCTAAAAAATTGTAATTCGGGGCTTTAGTTCTTTCAAGCCGAAGTCAAAATTATAAAAACTTGTCATGCGGATGGGGCTAATTATTCGCTTGCACAGTTTGAACACAACTGAAACGAGTCGGTTCCTATGGTGACAATCTCCTTCAGAAAGGAAGTGATAAATGTTTCGCGATAAAAAATCCAACTTTGCTCAAAAGGTCTTTAAAAAGACGGGAAGTGAAGCATAGACGGGGTTTTTCATCACCTTGGCCCTTGTCCGTCAACCTTCCCTGTACAACAGACTGATACGGTCTGAATTAAAGGCGGCGAGGGAACAAAACTGGCCTCACGAAATAATTTAAATCCATCTTTGACGTTCCAGAGATTTCGGGTCAGTAAAAAAACGGTCGTCTTTACTATTCGATCAAGTGTGGGCGGACAAGGAGAGCGTATGAACATTTGACGAACAGTCTTCGTGTAGCTTTGCGCTATATGTTACACTTGTTCAGACATAATTAAGTCAGAATGGAAAAAATCTTAAATAACAACTTCCTCTGTGCAACTGATTAAAGGTCATTAATATGAATTATGTATAATTGACTTTCACCAACCAACTACATTCCAAAGAAAATAATTAAGTTTTGGCAACCAAAAACTCACTGTAGCTGTTTGCTAAAATTATAACGGGCTTTGTTTTTCTAAGAACAAACTCTGTATTCTATTGCTTCGTTCTCACTGTTTTGGCTTCACTAATTCCAGGAGGACAAGGTAAGATTTTCCTATAGTCATGTCTTATCAATAGTCTGAGTAATATTTTGAAGTTTACTAGGAGTTTTTTATTACTTTTTTGTTATCTTTATTAACCTAACAAGGCCTTGAAATATTCGCACAAGACTCTTCTCCTAGTATTGGTATAATGAATTATTTCGTCTAAATACTCGCAATAATACTGGATAACAAATACATTTAAGAGGAGGTTCGTGAATATTTTGTCATTTTGCTACCCAATTTTTTGAAGTAAGATGAAAACAAACGGATGAAGTTTTAGGGAAAAAGTTTTAGGAGAAACCTACAGCGAAAGTTTGCTTTAGAGTAATTACTCGCGTCTCTGTAATCTGTTCATGAACGTTTTTGACTTTTCAGTCCCACAAGATGGATAACATGACCTTTGTATTTTAAAAAGAAGTTGAGGCTTATTAAAACTTGACTGAAATAGCTCCGCTGGATCGAAACAAAACTTGACACAGCTTTCTACAGTTTCGACAAAAAAAATTAATTCTTATGGCCACATGAAGATTAAAAAAAAAAAAAACAGCAGTTATCTAAACTTTTCGCCGAAACATGTTACATGTAATAAAACGTGACTCTTTGCCACAAATTGGCTCTAAAGTTGATCTTAAGCTTTTCTCAAATTTCACAAAAATGTAAATCAGAAGATTCTTGTATTTCCGGTTTAAATCACTTAAACGTATCCACAATAGTTTGTATGCTTTTAAATTGATGCACCCTAAACGGCATGAATCTTAGAAGCTTTTTATAAGCTGATTCTTCCTACGAGTGTTGGATATCGATAAGATGTCTACATGTATAACTGATTTGGATAATTACCAATTTTGTAAAACTCGTATCGATTATATTTTTTCGCAAAGATTCGTAAAAAAAGGCTTTTTCTGTCTTTGTTCAGAGTGAATAAATTTGTTTTGCCGCGAGAAAGAAAAATGAAATTAACAAACAAAGAAAACAGAAGAGAACAAAAAAGAAACTATTCCAAATATATTTGTCTCCTTGTTTTAGGCAGAATAATAATCTAACCTGCTCGAAGCGATACCGTCATAGCAAGTAAAATTAAGAAAGTATTCACATTGTTAGACAACATCTGTCGGCGAGTCTTGTGTGGTCAGTAGATTTAATTTGGAATCACTGAAAAACTGTCATGAATAATTTGCCACATAGGTGGTTTGAACGAAAATAAAAAAAACAGAACAAAAAAAACTATTCCAAATATATTTGACCCCTTGTTATAAGCAGAATAATAAATTAACCTGCATGAAGCGATATCGTCATATCAAGTAAAATTAGGAAAATATTCACATTTTTAGACAACATCTGTCGGCGAGTCTCATGCATTCAGTAGATTTAAGTTGGCACCATTGCAGAAACATAACGGAAACGAACAACAGCGTAAACGTCCTGACTTAAATATGACGGAAACATGACTTGACATTTCTGTTCCGGAAACATGACGAAAACTTGATAGAATCGCCAAGACTTGGTATCACACGTTTCTGCAGAACGTAAATGCAGCGGAAACATGAATCTCTATGTTTCTGTCACATTTAAAAACTGCGGAAACGTGGAATTTCGTCCTGTGTCAAGTGCGAATTATTGGAAAAGTGTTATGAACAATTTGCCACTTAGGTGGTTTGTTTCTCGGCTACTAGGTAAAGGTTCGTTACCAACGTGATCTACAACTGAGCCATGACAGTAGGACTGAAATCACTTTAAAAGCACCTGGTAAGGGTAATTATCTTCCACGCTATTTGGTTCTGAAGTGTTTTTGAATTGGGTAGATTAGTTTTTGAATATAGACTTTGAGTCGCAGGGAGCTCTGTCCGCTCCACAATAAAGTTGTCATAACTTATGGGCGGTCCTGTGGTCAGTTATTGTTATGAAAAATGCCTGATTATGATTAACACTTGGGGTTATCAATGAGACAAATTTCAAATCTAAGGGAAGCGCGATCAATTTTTCCGAGAATAGGAAATGAAATTTGATCGTAGACGCCAAGGACCGGAAACTATCCATCCGTGTTATTAACATTTGTCCTCAAAAAGAATCAAGAAAATGTTGAGTGCACAATAAATAAGAACGTTAAGTTTCATTTGAGGTTTAAAAGGGAAAAGAATATGAAGAAAGTAGTTTTAATTCTTCGACCTGTAAACAGATTGGAATTAAGTAATAGAGGGCTTTTTTCGTTTGCACGACTTCATCTACTCATGAAGGAAGTTGGAAGTATTCGTGGAGCCGGTTATGCAAACCTTCCGATGTGTCTCAGGGTTGTTTAACTTTCAAAGATGAGGCTAGGAAAATACTTGAAAGATATGTCTCAAAAATATGAGTGAACATAAAAAGCCACTTCCTATCATCTTAGCGCACCTTTCTATTAACAAGAGCGTACGTAATATCTTAGCTTCACTCCAACAGATAATCTTCCTTGTAAACCAAAGTTTAACAAGGAACTGAACGAAATCAGAGACGGTGATATATTTGAGCGACGTATAAGCTGCTACATGCGACATATTTTTGCCGGGTAGGTTGGCACAGTTTCATGCTCTCACCACGCAAAAACGTCTCTTTTTGAGGGAGAACACCAAATGTATTGTGCCTTAACAGATGGTTCTCCCATTTTGTAATTCAGGCTGACATCCCTACCAAAGATACCACCTTTAACTAAAATCATCTGCGAGAAGAAATCAATTTAATACCAAGAGATCCAACTCAATACTTAATTCTCTTGAAGAAATGTTCTTAAAACTGAGGGCTTTAATGGACAACGCTAAACCTGAAAACAGACCCGTTATCCAGTATGCAGCTGTCTACAAGTTTTTTGTTTGTGTTAATTCAAACCAAAAGCGTTTTCGACATGTCTCAAAAAAAGTGAGCCGAGAGGATATTCAAAACTAAATAGATCGTCGCTCAAATTCATCACACAGAGGCCAATAGAGTAGCACTGTAATCTAACTCTTCTTTCGCTGAAAGAATACCACGAATTCGAAGAGAATCAAACTCAACTGATGGAAAATTAATGTGATTTGAATCCTTGACCAGTTTACGAATATTTGAGTTCATACAAAAGAAACATCACACCCTAAACGAATGCCTTTTACAGAGTTTAACTTTTGTTTCGAAAACTCTCTAATTTTTAGATTATTCTACAGCGAATCATGTTCCTCTTTTATAAGTTTATGACAGAAAGGGGGTTTTTATTCTAATTGTCCACTGTTCTCAGTCAGCCTCAGGAAACAATTTTATTCACTGATGTTGTAATACCCGGCCCGTACCTCTCACTGAATTTCGTTTTTCAGGAAAAATGCTGTGGATATTTCGTTATTTTCTTGTCTGTGTTTCGGTCACCAACCCTGTAATCGCTGAGGATCAATGCAGGGTAGAAATTAACATTCGTGGCATGGCTCTCAAAGGTTTCGCTTTTAAGAGAATGGCGGTGGCGGCTCCTCACATTTGTAATATCTTATGTGAAAGGGAAATTATCTGCCAGAGCTATAATTTCAACAGAAAAGAACAGATCTGTGAATTAAACAACCGCACAAAGGATGCAAGACCCGAGAATTTCCGCTCAGACCCAGCGTGCTTTTATATTCGCCGTTTAAACGGAAGAGGTAAGAACTTAACAAGCACTTTGAATAAAAACCATGCTGCATACAGTCCGTGTTTTCCAATCTCCTGTGCCCTTTGGTATCAATTTCTCTATCAAAATAGAAAATTTCATCCTTTTCTTTTTTCTTTTAAGTTTAAATATTTGTTAACTTCCGTTTAAAAAAAAAGCAGCTGTGATACATGTATAAACATTGACAAAAAATGATTGCGTCATTTCTACAAGAAGCTTAAGGTCAGTAAAGAACTTTGAAGAATTGGAAGCTCAAACGAAGGGTTTATGCGAGAGGGGGTCCTGTCTCCCTAGAGGGTTGTGCTTGACAGAACGTTGAAATATTTCACAACCAAAGAAGGACATTCAAGTGAATGGAATTCGAGTCTCATTTTTATTCTCTCGTGCTTTTCACTTTTTCCTTTCCATCTGCGCTTACGAATACTTTATTTTCAACATTTTTACCCGTACCAGCTCCCTTGGGTTCGATACGGGAGTTACCAGCACGTTCATGCCGTGAAATAACAGCAAGCGAAGGGAAACACACCGCAAGCAACAAATACTGGCTGGATCCATCTGGCACTGGGAAGGCAGTGTTGGTTTACTGTGATATGAATTTGGAAGGTAAATTACATTTAACCCATTGTAGCTTTCATTTTGCGTTTGAGTTGTCGTTTTTTTGTAGCAACCTTGGTTGCTTTAAGATGTAAAAAAATCACACCAGTCCTGAAAACAATGCATTGCGCAGTTTCAGCTGTATATTAAAAAGAAAAAAAAATACCCAAGAGGGAAAAAATACAAGCAAATAGACAGGGTTTAACCATACTACACTTTTATAAAGTTTTCAAAAACATTCTTGCTTTAACCCTTTACACCCTAACATCAGTATTCATGTTCTCCATACTGTTCTCTGGAGAATTTGTTTGACAATCAAGAGTTTCTTTAGTTGGTGATCATTTCCTTTATTCTTGTGACCTTAATGTTTGATTCAGGTATGGGAGAAATTAGATGTCAGTCTGAGGGTTCAGGTAAATTATTATTTTAATCAGTAAAATCTGTGATCACAGATTTCCGTATCTACAGATGGGTAGAGGATTGTTTCGTACGTGACGTAATCATTAACAGAGCGGGAAGAGAATGGAAACCTTCTATGAACCTGCTTTGATTTTGCTAAAGGGATTTTAGGAGCTTTTTCTCCTTTATCTTATTCTGCTCAACCTGCAGGAATATTTTTCAAGCGGTAGTTGGTAATACTGGCAAGAAAATGTGGACAAATTTCTTATTAGTATCATAACTTTCACTTTTATTGTATGTTTTTACGCAGGATTTACTGCTGTTTTTACAAATCTTGGTATGATTGGAAGGAAGGGACCAAACTCGATTGGTAGTCATTACAAAGATCAAGATCATGACGGACAAGTAACATTATCCAGCGGCATTCAACTGTGGACTGTGCCACGCACTGGTGAATACAGAATAGAAGCAATAGGAGCCCCAGGGGGCTACGGTGAGGACAGTATCATCAAAACCGGAGGAAGAGGGGCAAGGATGATTGGAAACTTTATTTTGACCAAAGATGAGATCATTCATGTACTCGTTGGTCAAAAAGGGGGAAAAGGGAATTCAAACCCAAAAAATGCCGGAGGTGGTGGAGGTACATTCGTGGTGAGAGAAAACAAGTCTTTGATCGTAGCTGGAGGTGGAGGGGGGATTAAAAATATGTCAGAACAACATCCAGGATGTGATGCGTCCATAAACACAACAGGAAATGCAGGGAACAATTCGCCTTTGGGGTCAGGAGGAAGCAACGGACACGGAGGAAAAACGAGTGGTCAATTTGCAGGTAAGCGGAGAAGGAAGAAAAAAAAACCAATCAGTTTTTTCAGTTAACCAGGATAGGAAGACGACAATAAGATTTATCGGAACTGAATTATAAAAATTATTAATTCTAGCTTTGAAGGTTTTCTTTTCTCGGAGGCACCTCTTAGAATATCTAAAGTTCAACTGGGTTTCCAGTTCAGTTTTTAGAAATCGTACACATTTATTTACTGCTCACCATCGATCCGTCAATATACATAGGCATCACTTCATTTACATTTCTCTCGTCCAAATAAGCTTTTCAATTTCTAGCAATTGACTACCTAATAATACTCTTAAATAAACTTCCAAAAATTGAGAAGTGCACTTAATTGATAATATTACGAATCGTCGTTTAAACGCTCTTAAACAAGTAGTCAATTAGGAGCCGTTTATGAGATAACTGCTTCTCACTTTTCGTTTATTGTAGATGGTGGCGGCGGCGGCGGCGGCTTCTACAGTAATGGGCAAGATACACAGTCCCTTAAAAATGGAGGTCAAGGATATCTTCAAGGAGGAAATGGTGGATATGGTAGGGGTGGGTTCGGAGGTGGCGGTGGGTTACGTACAGGCAACGGTGGAGCTGGAGGAGGTGGAGGTTACTCTGGAGGAAATGGTGGAGCTTATGAACAGTTTTCCTGTGGGGGAGGGGGAGGATCTTTTAACAATGGGACAAATCAGCAGAATGAATGTTGTTTCAATAGCGATGAACATGGTGGAGTGATCATCACGTTTCTTCAGTGACATGCCCTTGCTAGTACTTTCTCTCACATGTAGACTTGTTTTGAAGGCTGATTGTTGTTGGTCTTTAAATTCCGGAGTTGAATAATGGTGGTGTTGGCCCAACGGTGCAATCTGAGGAATTAGTCATTTGTTTTTTAGTTCAGATTTTAAATAAACAAACACAATTTTCTCAGAGTAAATATTTTATGTATGAACATCTCCTGACGTAAGGAATACGTGACCTACAAAAACTGCTATTTTTGTTCTTTTTCCGGCTCTTTTCTAAGCAATTTATCGGATGGACATGTGCATCACTTGATAACTAGTTAATACACAACATGTAGGGTATTAGGACTATTAAATGTTTCGTAGAGAAAATGTTGAGAAGACAGTCCTTCACATTTTTCTGTACTTCAATTACCACGTCTATTTAAATATGATTTTCCACTGACTACGAGGGTTTATCAATTCGTTTTTCTTGATCAAGTCAATTTTAATACGATCAGTTAGACCCAGTATCTTTGTTTTTCCGGCCGCTCTTTGGGCCGACTGATTGCATTTTTTCGCATGACACAGATTGCAGTTTTACTGCCATTGGCGCTGGTTACAAATTATCCAAAAAACTTGTATTTAAATTGAGATTGTATGGCCTCCTTTGTCGATTATCAACAGAATCCCCTATTTATAAATATTTTGGCTTTGTTTTAGTTTGACAATGATACTCTTGATTCAATGTTTCAAAGCTTTCAATAACGCCTTAGGTTGGAAAGATCCAGACAGTAGAGAAAGAGAAGGCCGAAATAAGGTGGGGAGGGCACAACCCCAACTGCATATAAAAGGCCAAGCCGAAAACAAAAAACAAAACTATTATGAAAAACACTAAAAGCACAGTCACCCTCAGTTTTTCTCTAAGTACCTGCTTTGGTGTCATGGAAATTTAAAAGCTTTGTGGTTTTACTGATAAATCTCATCAATGATTGGGTCTCGTTTCATGAAGTACGCGAAAGTAAAAGTAAGGATGTGAATAAAATATTGTGTCATTCTTGGGGCCTGTTTACATGGAGTCGGGGGACCCTAGGTAGGTGAGGTAACCCGCCTAGATGGGGTAACCCGCCTGTCCATATAACTTCTTATTTTATTTGATCACGTTTACATGATAGGTGGGGTGATGCACCTAGGGTAACCCTGTTAGCCGGGGAGACAATTTGCCATGTAAACATGTCAAGGTGCATGGGGTAACCCGCCTAGCCAGGGGCGCGGTTATGGCAAAAAGCTCAAAAGCGAAACATGTATGTTTTAAAACTTTGTACATTTCCTAGCCGTCTCATGGCAGAAATCACCAGAAACCGCAACGGAAACACAAGGAATGTAAAATGTTCACATTTCGGAATATTTAGCGATGTAAATCAACTATATTTGGTTTCCTAAACTATTCCGTATAACGTGTTGTCAACGGTTCCTCGCGAAAGCAAACACCGCGTAACACAACGCGTGACGCTTTCATGAATAAATACATATGTGTCCGAGAATTAATCTTTCGTCTTTTTCGAGATGTGAGCCTTATTCCCAGTCAATTGAAGAGGGTTCAGCTACACCTCTAGCGGAATCCTGTAAAGTGACTGAAAAGAATGGCCCAGGGTTGATGCATCATCTCTCAAGTCGTAAAACTGTAGAGTTTAGCTTCTTGCCACCTTTGACTATATATGTTTATAGTTCAGTGATTATTATTGAAGAGGAGATTTGGATAAGTGTAAGAATAAAATCTTGACCCTTTTTCCATAAAATTGTACCAAAGCCCTTTCAGATCCCGAAAAAAAAGGGTAATTTGGGACTTTAGCACTTTCAAGCCGAAGTCAAAATACACTGTAATATTCGTAGATTTTGTCGGGTGCAGTTATATAAAAACTTGTCATGTTGATGGGGCTAATTATTCGCTTGTACAGTTTGAACACAACGGAAACGAGTCGGTTCCTATTATGACAATCTCCTGCAGAGAGGAAGAGATAATTGTTTCGCAATAAAAAATCCAACTTTGCTCGAAAGTTCTTTGAAAAGACGTGAAGTGAAGCGCAGACGGGGCTTTTCATCTCCTTGGCCCTTGCTCGAGAAACCCGCACCCCCCGTCAACCTTCCCTGTACAACAATCTCATAGCGTCTGAATCAAAGGCGGCGGGGAAGGAGGGGGAATTGGCACAAGACTCTTCTTCTCGTATCGGTATAATGAGTTATTTCGCCTAAATACTTACTCTTCTTGCAATAGTATGGGATAACAAATACATTTCACAAGAGGCTCGTGAGTATTTTGTCATTTTACTACTCAATTTTTTGAAGTAAGATGAATACAAACGGATAAAATTTTAGGGAAATAGCTTTTGGAGAAGCCTAAAGCGAAAGTTTACCTCAGAGTAATTACTCACATCACTGCAATGCTTTTCATGAACGTTTTTGACTTTTCGATCCCACAAGATGGATATGATGACCAGTGGCAGACCTTTGTATTTTAAAAAGAAGTTGAGAGGCTTATTTTAACTTGACTGAAATAGCTTCTCTGGATCGACATAAAATTGACACCGCTTTTCTACAGTTTCGTAATGAAAATTAATTATCATGAGCCAAATAAAGATTTAGAGAAAAAAGCACGCGCAGCTCTTTAAACCTTTCGCTGAAACATGTTATGGGTAATAAAGCCTGATTCTTTGTCACAATTTGGCTCTAAAGTAGATCTTAATAATGGTTGTTCAAATTTCATAAGATCTAAATCAGAAAATTGGTGCACTTCCGATTTTAATCTCTAAAAAGTATTCACAATAGTCAATATGCTTTCAAATTGATGCACCCTAAAAAGGCATGAATGTTAAAAGCTTTTTACACCCTGATGCTTCCTACGCGCGCTGAAAATCGATAAGATGTATAGAAGTATATCTTGAAAAACTCGTAGCGATTATATTTTTTTCGTAAAGATTCGTCTAGTAAGGCATAGCTTAAGCTTTTTTTTTTTCAGAGTGAAAACGCTGAACAGAAATAAAATTAACAAACAAAGAAAACAGAAGAGAACAAAAAAGAAACTATTCCAAATATATTTGTCTCCTTGTTTTAGGCAGAATAATAATCTAACCTGCATGAAGCGATATCGTCCTAGCAAGTAAAACTAAGAAAGTATTCACATTTTTAGACAACATCTGTCGACGAGCCTTATGTGTTCAGTAGACTTAATTTGGCATCACTGAATAGATCACCCTTCATGCAAGTTATTTAAAAACTGTCATGAATAATTTGTCACATAGGTGGTTTGTTTCTCGGCTACTAAGTATAGGTTCTTTTCCAATGTGATCTGCAACTGGGCCATGGCAGTAGGAATGAAATACCTTCATTTAAAGCACCTGGTAAGGGTAATTATCTTCTACGTTATTCGGTTCTAAAGTGTTTAAAGGTTGGGTAGATTAGCTTTTGAATAAAGACATTGAGTCGCAAGGAGCTTTGTTCGCTCCACAATAAAGTTATCATAACTTAAGGGTGGTCCTGTGGTCAGTTATTGTTATTAAAAATGCCTGATTGTGGGACAAATATAAATTTTTAAGGGAAGCGCGATCAATTTTTCCTAGGAAAGGAAATGAAATTTGATCTAAGACGCTAGAGACCGAAAAATTTTCATCCGTGTTATTGGTCCTCAAAAGTTTGGAATGGGAAAGTACTGCGCTGAAAAAAACGCAAGAAAAGCCTTGAAAGAATCTAGAAAATGTCGAGAGCATAATAAATAAGAACGTTGACTTTTAATTGTGGTTTACATGCTCTCATCATGCCTGAAACACGTGTCATTTTGCGGAGAACACCAAATGAGAGTGCCTCACCAAAAGGTTCTCCCATTTTGTAATTCATACTGACATCTTTACCGACGACACCACCTCTGACTAAAATCATCTGCGAGAAGAATTCAATTTAATACTTAGAGATCCAACTCAATAATTAATTCTCTTGAAGAAATGCCATGAATTTCATATCGTTATGGAACTCTTGAAAACAGGAAGACTAAAAGCAGAATCTTCATAGCTTCAGCTACCTCTAATTTGTTCAATAACATTTCTTCAATAAAATGCATATGACAGCACTTTTCCTACTGTAAAGACTGAAGAAATTCTGTTTTAAAGGCTGCTTGTTGCTTGTTTTAAAACTCCATAGGTGTTTGGTTATCTTCTCATTCTTCAGGTTTTGGTATTGAGGGTTTTAAGGTGTAGGTTAACCAGTGCAACCTTTCAAAGGTATCAAAGTCGTTCCTTTTTAGTTCAAAGTTTAAATTTACAAACAGCATTTGCTAGAATATGTTTATTTGTGCCTAATCTCTTTCGCACTTGTTCTTCAAAAAACCTGTCGCGTTTCACTTTCTTAATAGTTCCAATAAGACTTAATGTCCCTAATTGATTTAATGTGTCTGAATTATTTATAAATGCATGATTTCTCTAAAAAAATAAACTGCTGGCTCTCTCACACACATAGTCGAAGAAGTTTGAACTCGGGCATTATTTTTTAATCATAGCTAGAAACAATCTACAGTACTGTAAATACTTTCCTGTTAACTTGTTTTGAGAGAAGCTGACACCTTTTATCACATTTAACCAAACGTTTTGTTATGTGACTTAAGGGTCTTTGTTAAATCTTTCCGTTTGGGTTTTTTCCAGTACCCAGTTTATCTTGTCTCTGTGTTTGATTTGCATACACCGTGACATGTCGTCGTGCTTCAAAAGTTTCAAGGAGCTTAGAATTTGACTTTTTTCCATTCACTTTCGATATATACTTTTGTACATAAAGAAGGCTATTCATTTTTCTTTGTGGAGATTATTTGGTCATCATTGGTGAATTTAGAAAACGTTCAAAGTAATTTAAGGAAAGAAAGGAAGGTAAGCCCAGGTACTCCTGTAGAGGTATCGCAAAGAGACCTGGGAATTGTCTTATGGTAATTTTGCTGTTTCTGATCGAACATTCGTGGAAAGACTTTTATTAAAGACTTTTAAAAATTAAGAGTTCCTGCTTTCCAGAACTTAAAACCGTCTCAAGTCGTAAAATCATAGTGTTGAGCTTCCTACTACTTTTGATTATGTATGGTTATAGTCCAGTAATTATTATTGAA